GAAGCCCCAGTTTTCCTGACAACGGTAGAGGCAACTGCTGTCTTGCCTGCACCAGGACTGGCAGATAGCCAGAGAATATTTGTCACTGTAGGGTCATTAACCCATGTGAATATTCTTGGGAGGAGAATTTCCCTAGTTCCCTCCAGGCAGGAATCACCAAGGGTGATTTGTGTAGGAGTATTCAAGGCCTCCTTTAGCCAGGCGAATTCTGTAGGATGACTGATTGATTTTTAGCTGTACAAGATGGACGGAAGAACCATACCTTGTTTACTATTTATTTGACCAAGAGACAATGAGTGGCCAATATGTTCTTGGAACTTTGACACAAAAATTAAATTAAAATAAGGCCTTTAAACATGAATATAACAGCGGCAACAACGCACATTAAGCCTTGCAATAGCATCATTTAAACGGCTAACAAGATCTTGTATGACCTTCTTATCCCGCTTCAGCAACAGTGCCCTTTCCCAGCCCTTCCGCTGTTGCGCTTTTTCAACTTCAATTTGAATTCCATCCAGTACTCTGGTATAATATTAGCATTAATTAATTAATGAGCCGGAGGAAAAAACATACTTGTTCATTGTTTGAATGTTCCCAACGAGTGACTTTGGAACAGTGTCTGGATCATAACCAAAGAGCGCTTTGGCAACTGTATCGGTCATATCTTGGAGCTTGGTCTTCAAAGCCTTCCAATCCTCCATGTTGCGCGAAAATTGCTATTAAAATAGGTAAGGAGGAGTCAGCGGACTATCTCAGGAGTGAAACATACATCAACGAGGTCTATGATGACCTTAATTCCCCCAAATATTCCCTTCGCCGGTCCAGGGAACGCATCTGCTATGCAGTCTGCGACATCTAACCCTATCAATAGACCTTCCTGGATTCCGTCTCGAATCCTGATCAAACGATTATCCGCAGACATTCAAGTCTGCACACTGAGCACAGAAGCCGTAAACCAAAACGTAGTGGTGTGGTGGGCAAGGACAAGATGTAGTTACAGCCCTTACGAGCGATCGAGCTGATAGAAGCTGTGCTGCTTCTTTTCTCACACGATCAGCCGTATGTACAAGTAAACCAATCAAATGAATACCGCCATTGAAATGACAAATGCATCATAAATCCAACAAAGTTAAAGATTTGACTGAAAGCACGAAGCGAGCATAGACCGTAAACTTGCGCGACGAGGAGAGTACAGCGCTCGAAAAAGAGTAAATTTTAATATTTACTGCGAACTTGAATAGAGTGATGAGAAAATCCATGACGCCGGCCAGCGACGTATTATAGCGCTGCGTGAGAACAAGCTTCAAACGTAA